GAGGAGAAGTTAAACCGATGCAAACGCGAATATTGATCAATTAAATTTTCCGATACAATTAAATTGGGTTCACATGGCGCGGAACAAGCAACAACAAATAAAAAAAAAATAAAAAAAGAAAAAGCACACGCGCGTACACAATAACGCAAAAGTTTCAACGCAGCTGGTTGCGTTTTAGCGATGCAACTTTCTCGCGCATAATTATCTGGCAATTCGCGAGCAATTAACGCGTAACGAAACAAGTTCAAAGCTCTGGTTACTACTAGTTTATTATCGAGCGGTTGTATTTCCACGAGAGCGGTTGAATTCCACGTGCAACGCGTTTTCACCCATTATCGCACGCCGCCTAGCATATTGTTACGATTACAGCCGCTAATCCGTGTTTCGCGAAAGTGATTAAAGAGGACGATACGCTATGACGTATCGTGCCTGTAACTAAATATACTAAATCCTTAGTCGATAATATACGCGCGCATGTATATAGCTCCTTGGCTATTAATTTAATTGTGACAGAGGGTGTGCGTAATAGTATTAAGTTACCATTGTTTTCCCGTCGCGCATTGTATCGTTTTATGAATTATTGCTCGGTATTACAATAGCGGTTTTTCGTAAACTAGGAAAATGGCGGGAAGAAGGATTGTAAATTTTCTTTTCAATGGCGGTCATAATACTTGGCCAACAATTTTTTTCGTATATTTTTTTCGCTTGAAATTTTCCCAAAGAAACTCAACTTTTTCGATTTAGCATTAATCAGATGTGTTTGCCTATAAAATAAAATCCGCAACATAATAATGCATATAATAATAAAGGTCAAATCGCGATAAAACTTATTTCCCTGCCTCATTTATTATTCTCCCTCGCGTGTTGTGTTGTACTTTTTCATACGATTTTCATTATCTCGAAAACATAAATATTCCTTCAGAAAATAAATATCGAATTAATGAATTGTATAGGAGGTTGCATTGTGTCCATAAGTTCATTTATTATTAATTATAAATCATATTCAAGGGATAGTTACACAAAATTGAAAACATTAATCTTGAAAGTTCAAGAACCATAGTCGCTCAAAACAGTTAACAGATGACGCGTGGCCCAAACTTCCCTGGCGACTACGATTTATCTATTTATGTGAACCTCCGCTTGGCTTTGCGCTTTATATAACAAAAATATTAACTCACACTTATATGCGTACATCATCGTTTTTATCTATTGTATTTTGTAGTAACAATTTATCGAGTCGCCGTTCGCAAATCAGCGCGTGTTCCTCGATTAATATGTAAAAACGTGCGATTCGCAATTCGGGAAAGAACGGGTACACGATTATTTATAGTACAACGATATTTACAGGTGTTGCTTACAAGTGATACTTACAATGAAAACGTCTTAATACGACGACACGCATACATAACTCTCTCTTTCTCTTTCTCTCTATTTTCTCTCGCGCGCTTTAAACACTCGTAACATCTTTATATCATTTCCATCATCTACATACAAAACATTACGTTTTATTTAACGCGAAGCAACGTGTTACGGTACGTACATGCACCACTTTGTCGCCTAAAACAAGAGCGCCTGAAGTACTCAGTCATTTAATACAAATATTAATTTAAAAATTCAGTTTCGTTTAACGTGAAACTCAGGAGATTTTGAAACTATTGCACTCTAAGCCACGATTTTCTCGCTCGCTAAGTTAGCGATACGAAGAAGAATCGCGTTTTTGTTTCCCGAGTCACGACATCGTAGATTCTCACTTTCTTACAAGGATATAAATCAAAGGGAATAAACTCCCGCATTGTCGCTATTAAGCGGCAACTGTTTTGTTTCGACGAGTCTCGCGCGAAATTTGCATGACGACGAGGTTGCAAATACGTACAGTATATTTATGGACGCTTCTCGTCAATTAATATCAGGCACTCCGAACAAGGTTGCTTCAACGAGAATAGACTAATTTAATATACCGAACGAGGTAAAAGGCATAATGAAAATTTGCAAGAGTATCAGCAAAATTCACACACGAATCCCCTTATGCTGTCCCGATTGTGTGTTGGTTAATTAACGTTATTAAAGTTACAAAAAGAAGTTGATCAAGCGGAGACTTATAGTTTTCGGTGTGTCTTGCGTTTCATTAATTTTAACACTCTTATCCGCTTCAAATATATCGCCGCATGCAAAATTCCCCGATGACGTTGCACGAACGTGTAAGAGGACATTAATGGACGTAATGTATACTATAATAATAGAAGGTAGCGGCGCTAATGTGGAACAAATGTTTATTACGAGCATTTATGATAAATGCTCGGTCCACATAATCGCATTACGTTCTTCTAACATTTCGCCCATTAACAAACCATTATTACAGTATTACGCATCATTGCATATAATGCACATTTACGCGCGCAAATGTAAATTTCATTTTCCATCAAATATTACCTGCCTTTCTTTGCTTTTTTTTCTTTTTTCCCTCGCAATGCCAGTCACAATCCGCAGTGGATGAGATACATGCGTAATCCGCTGCTTTACGTTTTCCCAACAGCTGATCGATCGGTCGCCTTTCAATAAAGTGTCTTTGGTATAATTCATTCGTCCCTCTGGATAAACGTTAGATGGTATATGAGGATAAATAATACAACGCTGACTACGATATACCGCTACCGATATAATGAGAAATTTCCAAAGATATTTTTGCTACCGAGAAAAAGGTGCCAACAGACGATGAAAGGAGTTTGCAAGCAGCTCAGCTGCTTGGAAAATAGGAAGACCGCGAGGCAATAAGCGTTAGAGGTATACATAAGGTATACGTAAAGGTAGATCGTATAAGCCATCCTACCTATAATGTATTTACACGAGGCTAATTTGCATCTCAGACGACGAGGCTTGCGGCAATTTGGGATTTGCATCTTGTCATGTAGATATTGACGGAAAGAGTGTCTCGTCACCTCGTTGCTGAGCAATAGAATGCTGGAGCATAATTTTCCGGGAGAAACTATTTTTTTTCTTTCAACGCACTCAACGAAATATTTAAAGTAAGTTTTATTTTATTTTTAGTCATCGATTTCTCTGTGGAAACGTATCGGCGATATTTTTAACGCAACTTATTAATAAAACACGCCAGTGTCTGGAAATGAAACATTATCTATCATTTATGGAACGTTTAAAGTGGTAAAGAATGATATTATTGACGTCTCGTACGAAGATAAAAGGAACAAAAATAACGGTGTAATAATAAAAAAAAAGAGGAAACGCGAGATGAAAGCAAAAGTGGCGAGTTTTCGGATTTTCGAGGCGCGCCTCGAGAAAAGTATACGTGTTACATAATGCTATTTGCATAAATACAAGACGTGCTATCCCGCTGAAATTCCGCGGGGTTCCTCACAAAAGGAAGTCCGTGGAAGCTCGCGAGAAGTGGAAGAATAATAACGAAGAAAAGAACCATTCTCTCTGATGAGGAGATTTTCTTTCGAATGGCGGTTTCTCGTACGGCTTTAGGACACGTAAACCTTAATTAATGCGGACCAATTAAAAAAGAGATGAGGAAAAAAAAAGAAGCGCACACACCTGCGAGCTTACGTAATTGCATCTCGACCGCGAAAGAATTAGTTTCCAAGTTTTTAGATCTCGTTGCGCGATGATGACATTCGGTAATTATATTTTCAGTCGACGCTCGATTACACGTTCGGTTACATCGTCGCGATCCGAGTCGTAAATTCACGGAAATTGAGTTATCTATGTTGCTCGCGATATTTCTTCCAAAGCGGTCTTTGCTGTTATTTCTCGTATGAGTTGCACAGGCCAGAAATAATAAAATTATAAAGAAATATATTAAAATAAATAAATAAATCTCTTGAAAAATATTTTTTACAAGGTGCAATAAAGATTTTATTTCAAATAAATATAATGATAAAATATAAACTTTTTTGTAACAATAGCCAGTTTGGTCGTGTATTAATAAAAATATATAAAATTTAGAGCTGTAAATTAAAGCTATATATATAAAGTATAAAAAAAAACTTATTCTTACTTTACAAAACAAAATAATTTTTTCGATGTGTGACCAGTATAGTCTTTAAAGTTAAAGTAATCGGTCTACTTATTCATATTTATTTGCATAAGAGGATTCACATAAAGAGATTTTTTAAAAAAGATAAATAAAAAGTGAGAAATGTCAAGAGAATAGTACACAGAAAAGGAAAAAAGATGTGTCGGATTAATTTAATGAATCTCTTTCTCGCGAAAGGTTTCAAAAGAAAGACACAAAAGAATAATATATATTAGTCATATATTAAAATTAGAAAAACCTCTTGCGTAAAAGAAATATTAATGTGTTTGTATAAAGAAATATGTTTAATTTTCTCGTACGAAAAGCATACTGAGATGTACGTTTAGTCTCGAAACGGACGGTCACGAAAAATCAATCAAGCGAGAATGATATATATTTATATTTTCGACGATCGCGTTTCTCGTGCGAGATGTGTCAAATTATGGCATTTGTGATGCTCGTACGACCTCGATGTGTCGTCTAATTGATGGCTTAGAGCCCTTAAAGATAACGATCAGTATGGGCATTATTACGTTAACGACTTCGCTGATGTGTCGAAAATGCGACTTCGCGTCGCCGGATACCAACGCGAAATCGATTCGTCATAACGACGACGCTCCGTGTGCGCGAGCGAGTTCGGGGGAGATTACGATTTACAAACAAACAACGAGAACGGGAGGTTTCGCTGGAGCTCGGATTTGTTGTATACCACGAGCAGTTGAGCGAAATTACATTAATGTGGCTGGTGATGGAAAGAATAATAGTGCAGTTCCGTGGTAACGCAATCTATCATATTTTCTCACGTGGCATAGAATCTTGGATTCATTTTTCTCTACGAGAAGGTAGGATATAAATTATGTTATCGCGTTCGGTAAAATCAGAATGCGTGAAGAAATGCAAATTAAAACTCTCAATGTTTTCTAGGACGAGAAGAGATATTATAAGAAGCTTTCTTGGAAAAATATTTAATTTCAGATCTAATGTTTATTAAACCTGCAACATCAACTTATCATGTATGATTCGATCATCAAATTACTCTTATACAAATTTTAGGATCAATGGTTAATCGTGAGATCACAAACAAGATTGCGTATCCACGTTGGTCGAAATCCACACTCTCTTTACATGGAAGAAAAATCCGAACTCTTTTATATCACTACCTTATCCGCGATCGTCCGCGAGGGAGAATTTCCGCAAAGCTCGACAGAGAGGCGTGCGCTTCTCTCCCGTTTTCTCGCACGATTGCAAAATCGATTGTATGGCACAAAGGGCAACCCTCAGTTACAATCTCCGACCTCTTTCTCTTTCTAAGTCTTATTACGCGCATCCCTCTCTCTCGCTTACTTATCCATATATATGTATATATATGTTATATTACATTAGACGTTCCTATTTACAACGTGATATACATACATACGTACCAATATTTCTATAAAAATCGTCTCGCGACTATGGCAGCGTAGCTTCGGTATACAAAACCGCTGTAAGTTCGTTGAGAGATTTTCTTGAGTGCGGGCGTGAGATTATACGAGTGCGGCTGCTGTTTCTACGGTCGTACTGATCGATAATTTCCAGCCATCGCACATAAACGGTGATCGGTTTAAAGAACCTTGATTAATATTGGATTCCTTTTTCCTAAGAAGATTGCGTGATAGATCTCTTAAGAGAACTGACAAAAATCTCGTTTGACATAACGACGAAATTAGACATCAAATATTACTCATAAAGTACATCAATATTACTTTCCATATCGTTGACATTCTTCAGATGAATGCCTGACCTGGTGATTTCTTTCTCGCTGACTCACAGCTGATCACCAAAAACCTAGATAAATAAAATCAAGTCCCAGAAGTCTGTCGGCAAAAACGTTGCCGGCCAGTTATCGATATGCTTCATGGAACTCAGCTTCAGTTTAGCCAGATTCTGCCGAGGGTATAAGAGTCGTGTATACAGCGAATGTAAGGTATACAGTGCGAGTTCGATCGACGAATATATAAAGGTCGGTAACACAGTCTCCGCAAGATATGTTAAACTCTATTTATATAATATTAAACAACGAAACTGAAATCCGTCGATTTGACTTAGCTTAGTAATCCAAGAAATAAATATTATCAATAACTCATGTCTATTTTCTTAGTAATTGTTTATCAATTCGGAAGAATTGCATTAATTAGAGATCATTCTTTCTCTGTCGTGGCGATTAAATGCATAATATAACATAAATGCTTGCGGTGATCCTTAAAACTATTCCGTTCAGTTCAGAGAAATTTCTCCTCTTTCCTCTCCTCGCTCGAGCATTCTTATTTATACACATTTATAAATCGATTTTTTTTTTTAACATACCGCTATCGTTCTCGTTGCAATATTGCAGCAAAACAATGTCGTAACTATGCGATTCGTTCATTCCTCTCTTACACATCACTCCTCGAGAACTTTCGCGCAAATCCCAAAAAAATGGACGACACTTTTGCGGACTTTTATACAAATTCGCGCATGTGTAAGTCTGTATTAACGGTCATCAGCGAATACTTATCGTTAAACTTAGTCACAAATCTGAGTCTCTTGCACTGTCACTACCTACCGTAATTCGGTGCAATAAATGGCACAAATTTTCTCGTGTCTTCAACATAATTTACAGCGGCTCGGTGAAGACGAAGTAAGCCCCTGCCTTTCAGTCAGTCCGAGCACGTTTTTTTCGTTCCGTCAATTAAAAGCAATATTTTCGCGTGCTCACTTCCGGTACCGGGCTCAAGGACGGGGGTCGTCCCTCGCGCGGGACAACCCCTTCCTCTTGTCAGCCGTAGTAATAGCTTTTGCTGTTGAGGCTCCGGGGATTCTCCGTGCGTAGGATCGTGTGAAGATTATCCGTCCCAACCATGTGATTCCCGAGGTCGACGCGCATCCCCGTGTTTGTCGCGTGAGGCACCGACGAGGTGTGGATGCTCGTCGGCGACAGAGGTATCCTCGTGTCGGCATAATAACGTTCGCCGTGAAGCCTCTCGGCCAACTGAGTTTCCGGCAATCTACAAGAGATGAAGGAGCATCGAGAGTTAGTCTGATACCCGGAGAGAAGCGAAATTTTTCGAGGCACTCAATTTTCCTCTTACCAAGAGTGAGAGAAAAGAAATCTTATTTATTCAAGATTAAAATATGTATAATTTTCAATCGTGTTAAAGTCTATTTTTTACGCATCTCATTAAGTTTATCCTCATGTAAGATAACAAAGATTATTACAAATTTAAATACGCTATTTAACAGAATTATTCAAATCTTATTAATAACAAATGCTTAATAATGAAAAGATTCATTATTCTTGTGTGAAAAAATTACCTTGCGTCTTGCATAGGTACTGCGACCGGTGTGGTAAGATCGATGTCGGCATCGATTTCGGAAATATCGTCGGTGAATCCATTTGGAAGAGTCTCGTTATTCGCATGGAACTTTGCATCCCTCTTGGCGCGATGCCGGCTGACTAACAGACGGCCAATAACCAGTCCCAGAAAGAGCAAGATACCGGCGCTGACCGATACGATAATGTAGAGGTAAAATTTTTCTTGGTTGTCTGCGGAGATCACGTTAAAAACGCACATCTTAGATTTTTCTCCCCGATTTTTTATTCTCCACAAAACATCGAAAAGCAAACTCAAGCATCTTCATAAGAATGGAATAAAACAAGATATAAACATCGATAATAATTTCTATTTCTGGATGATAATTTATTTTTATTTAATTATAGATCTACATTATGTTTATGTATACAGACAAGCGTGACGCGACATTCAAAGAAAGCTCGAAACTGTGAATCAAAAGTAAAATTCATCTAACACATGCTACATTAACTACTAAACACACTGCCAAACACACAATGCATATATATTTGCCAAACGGGGATCAATATAATTATATCTATCAGTTCAACATGACTCTACATGTATCGAAAAATCAAAAAAACTAAAACGCAAACCAATGATCAATTTCAATTTTACTTCAAGTTTAAGTAAAATGAGTATAGAAAAATATTTCCATACCATTTTCGTAGCATATACTTTCGACTTAAAAATTGAACTAAATTCGATATCAATCCATGCGATATAAAAATCCTATCAAGAATGATCCCTTCCTTTTTCACGCAAGATGCTCAGACAGTTAAAATATCATTCGCCGATCTCGCCTCGTGGAAGCGATAAGAAATTACCCTGGTAATCGTATCCAACCCTGGCGTAAATCGAGGTTGATAGCAACAGCATATTTTACCAGCTGAAAGTACAACGATCAACCGATGGTGTACTCACTCGTTATAAAGGAATATGCATTGATCCACTCATTGAGGTATCCCACCACTAGGTGATCCTCCTCTTCCGGAAACGAGTAGACGACGGTAGTGCAGTTTCCGGATGCGCCGACCGCGCTCGGCGTGGTTGCAGCATTACCAACCCCCTGGTGGTCGCTCGCCATCGCAACCCCCTGGATAACCGTGGGCGGTAAAGGCGATAAGGGTAAATGTTTCGCCCCGATACCGAGCGACTTTAACATGTTCAACGCGTCCACTGTGCACGCGAAAAAACAAACGTATTCAGACGGCACGCATGAGGGTGAAAGGGAGAGGAATTTGCGTTTGCATGAGACCACGAGAGCCGGGCATTGGAAACATTATAATCTGGCCGAATTCAATTTTCGATACTATATACGCATACATATATGACAAAAAGAAACTCGCGAAAATCTCATCCGTTTTATTTCTGAAAAAGTCAAGATTTTTTTATTTGTATTTTTCTTATAGTGTATCGATATTTAAACTCGCAGAAATTATATTGAATTCAATGCCGAGCGGGATTCGAGAATAAAAGCGTCAAAGTGAAATCAGTGTAAATTATGTAGCAATTTTACAGCGATGATAGATGTAGGAAAGTGTCTCGTAAAGAATGAAACATTACGTATTGTTAAATAAATGATGATATCTCAAGCGTATGTTGTCAAATACATCGCGAAATTTTCCAGTTTAAAGAATTTTATAAAAAATATATATAATACGCAATATATAATTTTCCGCATTTTAGAATAAAAGATATTATAGTTAGATAATTATTATACAAGAAAAGAGTACAAAAAAATGATTAATCACTGTGTTATTTACAACGAAAAATACGATTAATCTTTCACCAAATGCAGTATAATTTTTCCACAATATTTGAAGCAAAAATATGAATAACAAACAATTGTTTGTATCGAAAATAAAAAATAAATGTTGAAATAAGCAAACATTATGATACACATGATATGGTAGTATTTATGGTTATAATTATACCAATAATACTAACTTTAGCGTAAAACTGGCTCACTTACAATAGCTTTGAAGCGAAATTGAAATTGCAAATTGTGTTCTTTGTAAGTTTAATAAATCCTACATTAATAGCAGCTACATAATTGTGCTATCTCGTATTAGATCATGCTCTTCTTTTTAAACAAGTTTAGAATATTATTATTAATTAATGTTTGCAAAAAACGTAATATCTATACTTGACGCAATTTTGTAATATGAAAATTTAAAATTAACGGAGCTCTCTTACTTAATGCTTTGTTAAGATTTAGTATAAATATACATTTTGCGCGATCCGATATGCATAATGCAAATATGTTTTTCCAGCGAACTTCCACAGGGAGAATGATTGATCACATCGTAACACTCCCTAATAGTCTGCCGAATAAATCATGGCAGCTGTTCAGTGCAGCTCTCTCGTCACACCACACAGAGTACCATTATTATTTCACGAAAATTGCAATTTAAGAAAAAGGATTAGTTACTCTCAATCGTCATTAAAATTCATGATCTTTGTCGCGCTTATCGTCCGTAATTTGAAACACGAATAAAAAAACTCGGAGAAACTCGCGACACGTCGTTGTCTTCATTCACGGAAACTTAAGAATGGCACATTGTATCCGCGAAATGTTTCACGGTTTCCCGGCTTACTTTTCGCGGTTATTTTTCAGGAAAGAACAGCATAGAGCGTCTCCAAATGCCAATGGGAAATGGAAATGTAGAAGCCGGAATAAAATATACGGACAAAGTAGTCCGTGTCTTTGCGCCGCCGAGTATTGACAGAAGTATTCGGTGCAAAAGATCACAGAAATACGCGCGATTTATCTAAACTACTTTAATTTTTAAATATTAAAATATATCTAAGCGATCTCTTAAATATTAAAATTTTATTCCAATATTATATGCAAAATTTTTTAGTGAGATATTTTCTAATGTTAATATTTTTGAAATAAATTTGTCAAGAGATAAAAAAGTCACACGATCCCTTTGAACGCTATTACAATTGCTAAATATACTAATTAGTAAAACATATTCAAGAGATTACGAGAAGAGATTTTTAATTCCACTTACTACCTTGTTCTCTCAAACCACGCACGATATACTTCGTTATAAAACCACTGATCCAAGCAGACTTGAAGGTGATGAATTACTCGGGTCTCGCGAAGCAGTTTTGCTGACACGAAAAAAGCAAAGAAAGAATCAGCATATTGCAAATGCTGAGACACACTTATCCAAATAATTTGTATACTTTGTCTAATTATTATCAGAATTATGTAATTTTCCTAAATTCAAGCTGAAACAAAGTTTACAATATAAGGACTTTTATATTATCTATTACTATATTTACTATATATTATTTAGAAGATTTTCGCATTGCACATTTATTAGTTAATAATGTACTGTATATTAAATAAGGCGGAATTAGTACGTTCATATCAGGAAGTTTCCGTTTCATCGTGGGTTTAATAATGTCTTAGCTTCGAGTTATTTACATCATAATTCAAACAATATGGTCCTAGTTCTTCCAGCTGCGTTGTTCCAAGACTACTATCTCTCCCAAACGAGATAACGTTCGCAGTTCCTAGTTTTCTAATTAGTGACTTGGGAATGCTTACAATTAGCCGATGACGGAATTCGATGTCGCGGAATTTCGCGTTGCTATTCTGTCGCACAAGTTTTCTTCTGCTATTTTACGGACGAATTATATCTGCTTGTAAAATTTGCATGACGAATTCAATTAAAATTGTTCTAATATGTTATTATCATAAATATGAATTCTCATTTGAAGATAAAATAACATAATTGTCGCAATAACATCGCGTTTGGCTCTATTGACCGATATGATATATATATATATATATATATATATATATATATATATATATTATGTAAAAACATAAATTAAGAAAAAGGAAAAAGATAAAAATACACGTTTAATATTATAATTTATCAACCGTAACTACATAAAATTTTTATTTTTTCCATCTTAAAAATATGCAAATTATCAGAGATTATTTTCACAAAAATATTTAATTATAGTAACACAGCATCTTCAATTACATTAATTATTTAATAAAATCTGATTAGCATTTAGAGTTCGTAAATATTGTATTAATGTTCTGGAATAAATAAGTAAAGATAAAAAATGCAAAGATCGAATTTAATAAAATATGTAGTGCTCACTCTAGCATTCTTCAATGTTGATTATGAAATAAAAACGAGATTGATTTTTTTAGTATTTTCTTACATCTTTCCGCGGAAAAATATTTTATTAGAGATACGTACACGAAGTATTGGTTAATTGTTAGACTATATATTCTCACCGAGTGTCTTTTGATAAACTTTACTCAGCCGGCCAGATAATAGTGTCTGACGTAAGCTCTTCAAACATTAGTTACGTAATTCTATTTGCGTCTTGTAACAGGTAATGTGGATATGAAATCAGTCGGTGTTGAGTAATTATGCTGCGAAAGCAAACTAAATTACAAATTTAGAATTAATATTCATGATTATGGTAATATTGCAGCAAAAGGATTGCGATTTCGTGAATAGATGTTCTTTGAAGTGACAATGAGTTTACTAAAACAATTCAAATTATCGTTTTAATTTCGAACTTATTGTTTAATATCATAACAATTTTTACTCATTAATAATACAGTATAAATCTAACTAAAATAATTATCGATTTTATATATAATCAACTTTCAAAGTAATGTGTACTTCCTAGCGTTATTAATTTTTTTGGAGTTTAAAGCGGAGTAAAATGTAGAAAAGTAGATTAAATAAATTTCATAAAGTATGCGAAAATATTAACGGTAAATGCAATTCGTACGCTTAAACGAGGTGTAAAAAATACTGCATACGAGGAAGCGACATGAGAATACGATAGCCGACTAATTTTAAGCATTCGTTAAATTATAGGAGTATATTGGGGCAAAATCGGTGTCTCGCTCGAGATAGCAATCGATCGTCCATGAAAGTTTAATTTCAGTACCGTGCATTTCACATTTTATTCTTCATAAAGTATGCAACACGCGCACAGCAGCGCGGCATATATACATATATACATATGCAGAAGGATGTTTCGCTCGGCTGTTTTTAACGCGTTTAAGCATATTATATCGAAAATAAAATCACTCTTTTTTCATTAACTGAATATATAAACTATTTTCAGTTTATCGCCAAAAATAATCTTTGTCGCAACAAGATGATCAAAAATTGATATTCACGATAGCGTAGCGATATTATTCGATATCGCAAAACATATTGTGCATGTGTGACGTTAAACGTAATCTACATACATGGAAGATCCATACATAGTATATTGTCGACAGAAATTAATTTGTTTATTATAACACCGCTGAAACAACGAGTATCAAATTATCAAGATATATTGTTAAAATAAACTGGCACAGAATCACATATACGTTGAAAAATAAATAAAAACAATACTCCATTACTCGCTGTAAATTCTTTGAATTCGCAAAACGCAATTTTGTTTCGTACGTAAAATTAGATATTCATGTACTCGGGCAGTGCAACGCGTTAAACGCGCAACCATTATTAAAAAAAGAGAAGAAAAAGGGAACTTTTTACCTCGAGAATTCCGCAAAACGGACGGACGGACGAATGAATGAAACGTATTCGTATGCACCGGCGAACGAAACGTGACAAAGCCGAAAAGTTATCGCGGACGAAATAGGAACGCGCGAATGCCGTTGCTTTTTTATAGCGTAAACATTTTTATTCCACGGCAAAATAATTTCTGTTCTGCGTTGAGCCGTAAAAACACGTTATGCACTCCCAACGCTAACGCGAACTATGTCTCGGAGAGCTGCGGCGAAATTATTGCTCACACATCCGCGAGTCGCGCGGAACTACGTATATAATGTGACCGAAAGAATCACGCGACCGGTCTGTACCGCCACCTGTTTCACACACGTCGCGAAAAGAGCGAACATTTTACGACACCTGTAATATATAAGTGTAATACACTATGTGCAATTTCGGGGACACGCTTTATATACGATACATGTAGCACAGTAAGACTCTTCATATATTTTCACATTTTACTTGAAGAAAAATCCCCCCCAAAATGTTACATGTACCTAATAAACTTTCAATTGTCAAATTATGATCAAAGTGATAATACTGACACTATATCCCTCTTGTATATACAATACATCTAAATAATGGAAAATCTTCGCCAAAAAATTAACGTTCGATTGT